GCCACTTGTCAGGGCCCTCATCACCTTTGGTCCTGTCACATGCAAATCCACAGCTACTCCCAGCCCTGCCCACTCTCCTGCACCTCCCAGCTTTCCCTCTCTCACTCCCGGCTTACTTTCAGCAAGTAAACTGGTCTCCTCTGTTCATTTTTTTTCCCAACAGAAAGGAACCAACTCACTTTGAACGCAGCCACCCTCCCTCTCAGCTTCCAACTTTCCTCTCTAAATCTCTTTCTCTTTGCTTTCGTTCAACCTCTTTTTCCTTCTGTATCACATCTATTTTTCCATGAGTAACGACTTTACCTGTGTCATGACCAGGGCCATCAAATAATATATTATTCAAAAAGAGACCTTCTGTGAGAGTAAAAATAGGCACTAATGTCCAAATATTTGTTAAAATATTGTTCCATAATTAGATTGGGAGAACACTTGTGAACCGAGGCCATTCTGGGCAACCGGGATGCAGGCTCACCCAGTTCTGCCCCTATCTTCCCCACCTGCAGAGGGCCTGGTGCATCCATTATCCTCCCACTCCCTCTCTTGACCTTCAGTTCCGTCCTCTCCACTGACAGCTACAACGTTCTCGGGACTTGAGGTTTTGTTTTTAAGAAGGTTTCGCGGACATTCTCAACACGTCAGGTCACTGTCCTCTCCGATTTTCGCAGTGCAGTCAGGGCTGGCTGGGACTTGCACCAGCTCCTTCCCATTCGTGCGCTCTTCCGGCATTGGCTGACTTCCCTCTCCACTGAGGCTCTGCCCCTGATCCTCAAAGGCCACTCACAACGGTCTGGAGAACAATGACCTCTTCCCAGCCTTCAGTCTCAGACCCTCTACCTCATCAGCCTCCTCCAAACTTTCCTGTCATCCTTTTTTTAACCCAATCTCTTTCTTGTTTTCCTCTTCCTTCTTTCTTCTCAGCATCCTATCAGCCTCTGTCTCCCCCTCTAAGGGCACAAATAATGGTTTATCCAAGGCCCTACTTGGCCTTTTATTCTTTTTTCCTACACGCTGACCCTTTCTCACAGCTTCCCCATCCCCTCAAAAGGATGTCCCTAAATCTTCCTTTGCTTTGAATGGCTCCCATCCATCTAGACTGTCCATAAGCAGGAAAACATTACAATACCCGAATCCAGTCATTCCCATGAATGACACAAATTTCTACTGAATACCCACTACTTGCAGTGCCTTTACTTGTGGCCCCCCCTGACTATTTCCATTCCTGCCATCAGCACGCAAAGGCACTCAGTGTCAGATTTTCCTTCTCCCTCAATTCCCTCCCCAATTAGTCAACAAGTCCTGCTGCATTTATTTCTACCCAACCCATCTGCCGCTACTGTGACTTAGGCTCTCACTGCTTCTCTTCTGGAGAATATCTTCATAACTTCCTAACTTGGACAACCCAGTTAGGAAGTTAACATATGACTCTCAAACCTCTCGAAGAAACGGTGTCCATGTCTGATTAACCTATATAGTTCTTATGCTGCTCTATAGATTGTAAACTGAGAGACTGAAGCATTAAGGAAATATTAACTCTGTACCCATGACATAGCATATAAAATGATAAAAATGTACTTAATATTATCACAGTTAATTATGCTAAATTCTTAGGAATGCCTAGAAACTAGCCATTTTTTACAGTTCTCCTGGTTAGACCACTATGAATCATTTCATTTAAACTGAAATTACAGGAGAATGACACATTCTTTATTGGTTTCTTAAACTACAGAGATGGACAAAACTTTAGCGATCACTTACTCCTCCCCCGTCTCCTCTTCACCCCCATTCTCCAGGTGGGCAAACTGACGCTGTGAGAGATTAAGCTCTTCCAATGGCCACACAAATCAGAGGTCCCGACTACAGCTATTACCATTCATCAAGAGCCTAGTGTACACCAGGCACTGTTCGTGCGCCCTGCCAGTCCTCCAACAACCCTTCAGGGTCAAGTGCTATTACATTTTAGAGACGAGAGAATGCCTGAAAAAGTCGGGCAGCTTGCTACAGAGAGCCGGCCCGTTCCTCAGGAGCAGAGCTGAGCTTCAGCCCCGACTCCATCTGACTGTCTGAGCCTGGGCTTTTCTAATGGACCCTGTGGCAGAGGCAGGACCTACCAGGGGTCTTTCCTACTGTCTCTCCAGTAGGGCCAGCTAAGCAAGCGTGCGCACTTATACGTTATGAGCTATTTTATTTAAAACTTTGGAGGCGGGGAAACTAAATAGTAGCTTCATTACCATGAAAGTTCTAAGGTTAATTACTGCCAGCATTCTGACTGTCAGAAAATGTCTTATCTGGAAATGAGATTTGTGTTCCTGCGTTTTCAATTCTTAAGAATATTTCTGACTTAAAAATACATTGTTTGTCCAACCACATTCGACAAGTATTGGTTGAGCCCCTAGATGTCCAAGGCACACGGGAGGGTGTGAGATACAGTTTACTCTCTGAGTGGTTCCAAGAGGCAGACAATCAGCTAATGGCAGAAGTCACTCCTCCCCCACTTATGGGAGCTTTGGCTACTCAGGGACTTCCAACAATACGCCAGAACCCTTGGTTCTCATCCCTGCCCAGCATCTTGGGCAAGTCACCTCACTGTGCCTTAGTTTCCTCAGAAAAGCGATTGGTAAAAAGCAATGAAGTATGCCAAGCAACTTCAAGGTCCTTTTTAGCTTTAAATTTATCTAGGCTCACTCATGAGAGTACGCTTTCGGAAACACAACGAGTGTTACCGAAAGGGAACTGCTGGGTGCCCAATCTTCTTAGCAGTGACTTTGGAAGTACTGAGTTCTTAAAATATTGCTACAAGATGAAGGCTGGCTAATATGCTTCCCAAGTTTATTGTTTTGTTTTTTTTTTAATGTATTTATTTATCTTTAGAGGGGAAGGGAAGGAGAGAGGGAGAGAAACATCAGTGTATGGTTGCCCTTTGCGCATCCCCTGCTGGGAACTGGCCTGCAGGGAACCTGCCTGCAACCCTGGCATGTGCCCTGACTGGAAATCGAACCGCGATTGTCTGGTTCGCAGGCCCGAGCTCAATCCAGTGAGCTACACCAGCCAGGGCCCAAGTTTATTGTTTATAATAATATAAAGTTTACTAAAGTTTACCCTCCAAGGAGGTCCTAGTAAGCACTACATTCAAATCACTCTCCCATTATATCAATGGCTTATTACTATAGCTTTAATTTGTTATAATACACTTACATTGTTTAAAGTAGAATTAAAAATAACTCCTTTGATCTACGCTCCTGTGGAGTTACGTTAGCAACATCAACAATAGCAGAGTTAAGACCTCTGCAGAGAAGCAAACCTTGTCTTCATTTAGTTGAATCAATACTTCATATTAAGTTCTACCTGCTGTGGGCCTTCCCAACTACAGCTAACTCTGAGGTTGGGGCATGGACAGTGGGGAGAGAAGAATAGAAAAATATCCGTATTTTGCTGATTCCATGTCAATATCCTGCATATTTTCTTTCCAACTAGCACAGAGAATATTTTTAATCCTCCACTGATTTACACCGTAACACTTTCCCTTGACAAGGCTCCACATGTCCCCTCTTTCTTCATACTCAGCACCTTGGGATGTGATACACAAACCCATCTTGTGCTGTAAGTTAACGGCACAGAGGACGAAACCAACCAAAAAAAGTGGAAGAAAAAATTTAGAACTGTACCATCTTAGTGCCTGGCCCAAAAAGGCACTGAATTTTAACTGTCAAAGATGTTTCTACTAAGAAATCAGGAAAAATGAATGTATGTATTCACTAGTCAACAAATACTGAGTGCCAAATATATGCCAGGCACAGTTCTAAGTGCTGAAGTTATAGCAGTGAACAAAACAGGCAAAAATTCCTGCAAGCCCTGGCTGGTGTGGCTTAGCTGGATTGAGCGCCAGACTGCAAAGAACCAAAAGGTTGCCAGTTTGACTCCGGGTCAGGGCACATGTCTGGGCTGCCAGCCAGGTCCCCAGCTGGGGGCATCTGAGAGGCAACCAATGGTTGTTTCTATCACACATAGATGTTTCTCTCCCTCTCTTTCTCCCTCCCATTCTCTATCTCTAAAAATAAATAAATAAAACCCTTTTAAAAATTCCTGCCAGAATGGGGCTTACATCCTAATGCAGAGATAGCATTTAAAGAACCCCTAAATATAAATCATTTCATAGAGTGATGAAGTACTATGAAGAAAATGAAATAGAACTAGAGGTAGTTCTTAGGGTGAGGAGTAAAAAGCTACTTAAGATGATTCAGAGGGCCTTCCTTGCTAAGCAGAGTACTAAGTGGTGAAGAAATTTTTACTTAATCTTACAAGGGTGAGTTGGGGTGTAAACGAGTCAAGTTAGTCTTTCAGGGAGGTCACAATAGTCATAAATTTGTAATTAATGGCAAACTATTAGGATTTAGCTTTTAAGCTCCTCCCACCCCACCAGTCCTTTTAAGTAGGACTTTTCTACTTAGGAGCCACTTATGTTTCTCTTAAGATCCACTAACTTTTTAAGTTTTGTTAATTACTTTAGTGGTACTTAAGTAGAGACACTTACTAGAAGGATTCTCTCAGAGCCCCAAACCTCACTTGACACCATCCAAATTCTGAATGAGACAGGACCCAGCTCTGCAGCGAATCAGCGCTCCTCCACCGACTCATTAAGGCAGCCAGGTGGAATCTTGTAACCCTTCCAAGAATGTGAAACAAGCCTCTGGAAATCTACGGAAACTGACACCCCCAAAGTTCCTCCCAAATCGTGGAAGGGGCGAAAAAATAAACCATCAGCCTTTGGCATTAACTCTTCCCCGCCCCTTCAGGCGTCTTCGCTGCAGTAGGACCGCTGCGAGCGAACCCTGGGTCAGAGGCACGCGGCGGGTACGCGCGCGTGAATACCCGCATGAATCATCGGTGCCCGGGTCCGCGGGGCGATGATTCATTCAACGCTTTCGAGCTTACGGGCACACATTCCGGGCGTACTACGACGGCCGCACACGCAGCTTCCTTAATATCAAACAAATGTGTCAAAGTACAAACGCCTGGAGCCAGAAACGTGTAGACCCAAGCCACGCGGCCGAGAGGAAAGGCTCGTTTCGGCCGGGGACCGAGTGTTCCCGGCCCGGCAGGGCAGCGGCGGGCACGTCCGTCCGCCCCTTCGGACCTCACCTCCATCCCACCCCGGCTCGCGCGCGGGCGGCGCTCGCAGGGGCGCGGAGGACGCACAGGTGGGTCCCCGCCCGGCCTCGACTCCCGCCCCTCCCGCCGCTCGCGGCAGGCCGACGCTCCCTCGACAACGTGCCTCCCGCTCGCCCCTCTCCTCTCCGTGACATCTTATATAATAACCCGAGCGGATCAAAACGGAAGCGACGCGCGCTGCCGGGGCCCGTTCCCCAGCGGGGACCAGATGCTTGCGTTCCCAGTTCACAGCCCCCACACTAGGCACCGGGGCGCGCGGCTCCCGGGCGGGGGAAGGGCCCGAGCGAAGTCGCTCGTCCCTCCTCGGAGAAGGCGCTGCCGTGGCCGGTCCCCATCAGGAAGCAGCGAGCGTCACCAACTGCGTCAGCTTCTTCAAACACATTTATGGTCTCCCTCTAGCCAGGGAGCCGGCTGCTCCCTTGGCGGGGCCGCGGCCGCGGTTGGAGGGAAGCCCTCCGGGGAGGAGAAAGTTCCTCGGGGCCCTCCCGTCGCCCGCACAGTGCCGGGTCCCGCCGCGCCGCCCGCCCGCACCGCTGTCAGGTTGGGCAACTTGTGACCCCCGGGGGCCGGGCCGCCCCTCCCGCCCGCCAGGCTCCCCCGGAGCAGGGGGCTTCCCCCAGCCCAGCGCAAAAGAGCGACGTCAGAAACTTCCCCGGGCCGCGCCAGGCAGGGAAGCCGCTCGGGTCCCCGCACACCGCCCTTACCTTGCTCTCCAGAGGCCACGATCCGGGCGGGCCGCGCGGGGCGCGTGGTGCGCGAGCGCGCGCGCGTGGGGCGGTAGGTGAGGGAGCCCGCGCCGGAGAGGGCGGGGCGGGGCGGCGGGGGTGAGAGCTGCGAGGGGCGGGGGTGCCGGGCAGGGCCGGCCAGCCGGGCGGGCGGGCGCGAGCAGAGCGTAGCCGGCTACAGCAGCGGCGGGCGCCGGGCGAGCGAGCCCAGGGGGCGGAGGAGTTGCCGCGGGTTTGTTTACGCATTGCTGCCCGGCTCGGGGCACAGCCCGCACTCCCTGATTGGACACAAACTGGGGCACAGCCTCTCGCTGCCGCCCGCCTGGCCTCCTCCAGCAGCCGCCGCGCAGCTTGGGGAGCACCCTGCCCGGCACGGCCCGCGGCGGCGCCCGGGCCTGGAGGGGACGAACCGCGGCGGCTGCCACGGGCTGCGGTGGAGCCACATGTTTGCCCAGAGCTCTCAGTCGCCCACCTGTAGTAGCCGATTGGCAAGGAGAAATTGGAAACTTATGACGCTGGAGACTGGATATCACCCAACCGTAGAAGGGGCACTCCCTCGCCCCCCGCCCCCGGACGGAGGAAACTTGCCCTTGAATGGATGGAAAGGAAGCTCAGATGGTGATCTGCCCCTTGGGTGATGGTCAAGCCCAGGCTTCCTGCATAAACTATCCCCGGGAGCTGCAGTTCCTTCTCCAGTCTCCAGCTTCTCTGCTGGTAATTCGTCCCTCCGAGCAGCAAAGTTGCCATCCCAGAAGTGACCTTGCCTCAGGGTGCTCAAGATCCTCCAGTGACTCCCTTGTCCTCCAGCCCCAATCCCTTAGTCTCCGAGTCCTTCACGCCGCCTCCACCCTTCAGTCTCTTCCCCACTGCCCGAACGTCACCCCCACAGCCTGGTTTACAGACAACATCTCAGGTGCCTCTGTCCTTTCACGACTGATACTGACGCTCTGTTCTTTCCCAGGAAACCGGAAAATCCCAGAGCACCTTCTACTTGTCAAACCCTCAGACTCAGCTTGTCTTCTTCATGTATCCCCCTCCCTGCCGCAGAATCCACCCTACCTCTGGCATTGGCGTGGCTCGAGGCTCAGTCTGTGCCTACTCTGTGCCCCCGCTCGGCTGTGGATTCCTGAAGAACAGGAGCCTGGTTTCACAGAACTTGGGAGACGGGAAAGATGAATGCTATGAGGATAAAATTGTCTCCTTGTGTCTGCAGTTCTGCTGGGACTGTAAAAACTCGAAAGGGTCTCCTGATAGCCACAAACCTCAGCTTGCTAAAAACAGACACATCCAAACATTGAGAATGCCCGCCATCTCTCCTGTGTCCCCTCCCCACCACATCTAGCAATGCATCCTCTATGCACATAATGGGCACTTGATAACCCTGAGAGGAATAAAACTCAAGTGTTCTGTAAGTTAAGTTTCAAGCGATCAAAGTGAGTACAGTAAATCAGGAAGGAATAGACAGGAATGGCCGTAAACCCAGTCATTTTACAGATAACTTCTAGGCTAAGAGTCCCTCAGCTCTGACAGTTAGTGTCCCTCTCCAATCAGACACTGGAGAAGTGGACCCTGACCCTTCCTGGCTCCTGGAATGGCTGGATTTCTTTTTCATGATGTGCTGCTTCCACTGGGGAAGTTGCCTTTCAACTCTGAGGGTGACTCCAAGTGAGAGTCAAGTTTTCTTTCCCAGAAAATTCAATAGCAATAATTCACTGCAGTGACTTAGTTACTTGGGGGTTGAAAGAACTGGAAGTGCAACCTGGGGAAGGTGAGGCAGTCCTGAGATTAGCAGCTGCTGTGTTTGTGCCCCCCCCCACACCGCCACCCCCAGGGCTGGAGGGCCACACGGAGGAGGCTGCCAGAACCACCAAGGGCTTATCCAGTGGGAGCTGGAGCCTGGAAGGAAATGTAACTACTAGGGTGCCTCCCAAAGCAGAGAGAGTGGGAGAAACCCCCTGACTTCTTCCAGGAACCTCCAATACTGCAGGGCCACCCAGTGGTGAACAGCAGGAGAAGCCAATGGACAAGATGACCGAGGGCAAAGGTCAGAACCCGGATAGGACAGATCAGGAGCAGAGCAGGAAAAGGAGACTGGATGTGAGAGAGCAGTGGCAAGTGACTAGCACTCCCAGCTTGGGTGCTGCACCTGGTTACCTCTGGGACCCTTCCTCTGGGTTAGATTCTCCAGGGGCAGCACAAACATTTTCTTTCCGAGCCACAGAAGTCCCCCTTTCTTTTTCTTCTTTGCTTCCATTTCTACATCTATTCTCTTCTCTACCAGGATTCCCTTACATTTCCTTTGCCTCTCTTACTTTTCTAGCTCTGCCTCTCATTTTTCTCTTTGTGTTCCTATACTTGTCTTACCCTCCTGACTTGTCTTTTCCCCACCGAGCCTCTTCTGACCCCTGCTTGGGCTGCTCCTTCCAAGCAGGAGGGCAGCCTTCCTCAGCATGGCAGGTATGAGAGGTTTCTCTGGTAGCTCGTGAAATTCGGAACAATCACATTGTTGCCCCTCTAGACACTGTGTTAGATATTTCACATGTTATCTCATTTAATCTTCAACTCACATCTATTAGCTGGGTACCACTGAGTATAACTTTGTTGGCTTTACTGTTGCCCATTATCAAGAAGGCTTTACTAGTGTGGATCACCCTTAACACTGCTGACAGGACTCTTCCTCATCTCTAAGTGTCTCCCTCCATTCGTTCTTCATTATTCTACATCTTTTCCTTGCATTAGCACAGCTATTTCTCCCAAATCCCAATCCTTTAATACATCTCCACTCTAAATCTCTAATGGTTGAGAATGGCTTTTGAAAGATAGGTAGAATTTCAATAAATGGAGATTGAGGAATGGCATGCTTGGTGGGACAGTGAATCTTATCATCCAACTTATCTGAAACCCAAAAGACAGCTAATAAATAAAAAACAGATTTCAGAAATTTGTCTTGAGATCCCAGACAGACTACTCAGAAACCCAGATTAACCCTAACTACATTAAGCAGAGATATAATTCATACAATTAAAATCATAGCATTTTTAAAGCTAGAAAGACATTGTCTGGCCCAACTTGTCCCTCTTTAAGTGAGGGGACTGAGGCCTAGAAGACTCCGGATTACAACTGGAGTATTACAATAGTTAAACACGAGTACTAGAGCTCGGCTACCTGTCTTCAAATCCCTGATCTGACAAATGTTAGGCTATATGACCTTGAACTTATGTATGTTTTCTCATCTATAAAATAGGAAAAGTAATAATAGAATCCACCTCAGTGGGTTGTTGTGAGAAATGTTTTTACAGGTAAAACACATAGCACAGCGCCTGGCATACAGTCTTCAATAATTATCAGTAAATGTTATGGTTCCCCATAGCTATTCAGCTAGTAAATACCAGAGCCAGAACCACCCATTGAAAGTTTTTTAAGGCATAATTGAATAATCTCCATGACCAGAGGTTATGTCTTAGGGTACTTGTCGAATGCCACGTGTGGAAAGTATGGCGCCCCTCGGACCGCAGAAGGTCTCAGTGAACCTTCTGGCTCCCGTTCCTCTCCACTGCCCGCCCCTGGCTCTGCCGCCTGCCCCGCAATCCTGCGGTGCCAACAGTACTGCATGCTGGGAAGTTTCAGAGAGAAGGGGGACACAAAAAATGAGCAGTGGACATATATCTCATAGTCAACAATATAGTTTACAAGCTCAGATATGACTGTGATTTTACTAATTTCAATTTCAAAAGGACAACTCAAAATTTTAAAAAATCATTGAACTAAAGGCATTTGAATTATTCGTCATTCCTCAGCCTACAGAGTATCAAACCTACCAGCGAAAATTTTGGCAGTTCCTTAGAGGAATTCACTGGGACCAAGAAAAAGCCTTCTTCTAATTGAGTGTCCCATCCTTCAACAAAATTGTGATGGAACAGAATCTTCTCATCCTCCCACTTTTCCTTTCTGAGTCCCTGGTCCTACTTTTCAAAACTCCAGCACCATGCAATGAACCACAATTTACTCACCTTTTTATCTCTGGGACCTAGCTTGGTATCTGGGGCATAGCAGGCACCCACATGTGGTTGAATTGTCTGACTTGAGCAAGGCCACACATTCCAGAAGCATCTCTTGTACCTCCCCCTTCAAATCCTTGTCTCCTCAGTTGACTATCCTTAGCTACTTGTCAGCCTGCGACACTAAGTGACGGGAAAGCAAGACAACAGCTGAATGTGAAAGAACTGTGCACTTGGCAATGCAAACTACATCCAAAGGGGGGTTATTTTAATGCTGTCGATCCAGGCAATATTTCAAGAGGGTCAGGAAGACACTTTGGGGGCAGCTGGACTGTCCAGACACCTTCACATTGCATCACACAAACTGAGCTTCTTTCTTCTGTAAATAAAAACTTTGACTTTCAGTGTTGCATCTTTTAGTTTAGACTTCTTAGATTAATTTCTAGATGGCCTCCATATAACACATGGCTATATTAATTATCCTGATCAAGTCATGTCTTAAAAGGCATAATTTTCTTTAATCTTAAAAGATCAATCATTGCCCCAGTTTTCTCTTTTACTTCAAAGCCAGAATAATGACCCCTGCCTTGGTCATTCACTGATTCTTTAATCTCCAAAATCTCTTTTACATCCTGTGTTTTGTCTGCATGCTTCCTCTAAGAAGCTGGAAGGAATTCAGGTGATTAGTTCTAGATCAACCCCTTATTGTATAAAAGCTAAGAGATGTCAGTAGTAGAACCTCAGTTTCCCAAAGCACTTATGCCCTGCTCCGTCTACCTTGAGGTGAACTTCTCGTGCCCTCCTGACTGGTCCGTTTTCGCCCATCACCAATACCCTCTGGGCCCGTTAGGGCTAAAATGGATGATCTTTGCCTCTTTTCTTCAGACCCCCTCTTCCACTTCGGGTATCTGTCTGACTTGCCTTTCTAGTCTGAATTGGCTCATGATTCATGGTGTTTTCTCTTCACAACTCTGTTACTGCTGATGGTTTTATCTCTCCAATCAAGAGGTTGTTTCTCTCCAACCTCTCCCTCCTGTAGCAGACACCTCTTAATATAATTAACATTTTTTAGAGTTGTAATAAAACAATGTCATTTTGCCTTATAAAAATCAAATTTAACATGTATTTAGACTATCAATAAAATACCACTTCCTGGCTGTCAAGCCTCTCCAATTCTGAAATGTATCCCAGTAAACTAACTATGTAAACTTGGGCAAGTTATTTAACTTCTGTGAACTGCAATATCCTCAGTCTGTTCATTGATACTATTATTAGTATATGTGCCATACTCATAGGGTCATTGAGAATCAGATGTAATAGTAAATACAAAGTATTTAATAATAGTTGACAATAGCTAGTATTTGTTGAGGTTTTATTATGGACCAGGCATTATTCTAAGCTCCTTGAATGAATTATCTCATATCGACCCTACACCACAGATTCCATTATTATTTCAAAATGAGAACATTGAAGCCCAAAGAAGTTTTAAAACTTTCCCAAGATCTACAAGCCAAGAAGTGCATGAACCAGGATTCAAAACTGGGCAGTGAGAGCTGGACAAACGTGTATGCTGCCGGCCGCTACATTGAGAGGGTGCTTGGTCAATGGTGGTTATTGTTGTTTATCATCAGTATTATCACCTTAAAGAAATAAGAAGCCTTTTCTCTGCTTTCCTTCCAGATTCCTTTCAGAAATTGAGCCTTGGTATTATTTTAGGAAGAGATAAATAATTCATGATAATCCAATGTGTGGGCTACCACTTGTTTTGGCTTCCCGAAGAGAGACTGGAGGGATGCTCAAGGATTCTTACACGGCTCAGGCCCCGTGGGCACCCTGTTCCTCCACAGCCCTACTGGGCCCTCCAGTGCCCTTGATAAACTCACACAGGCAATCTCTGACCCAAGAACAGTCCATTGTGACAGGGCGTTCTGATTGGGCTTATGTTTCCTTTAGGGCTTTCTCATGAGTGAGACCAGAACATTCTCTGTGTCTAGCTCTGTTTGTTTGTCTGGTCTCAGAAGACAAGTTAGGAAAGAGAATTTCCCCAGTGGCATCCCAAAATATTCTTCTTTTGGTCTCTACTATATTATTTCAATTTCTTCCCTTCAATTTTTTGCACCATGATCAGCAAATGGTCTCATTTAACCGTCTTATTCCCTTTGATGATGCTAAAAGCCAAGCCAAACCCCTCACTGCTGGTTTGGATGTCCCTTTCTGAGTGCTGTGTGAATTTGTCTCTGGTCTGCTGTATTTCTGAATTGTACTCGACACACCATGTCTCCCATGCTTCTTGCTTTCCTCAACGTCTATTGCCCCCCAAGCATCTGATTGTTTATATTTGAACATCTGTCCTTTATGGACCCTAGAATCATAAAATGCTAAAACCAGGAGGACTTTTGTAGATAACAGAGGCCAATTGATTCCCTTCATAGTAAGGACCCAGGCCCAGAGAAGACAAGTGTCGGGTACAAAGCCACGCAGCCTGTGATGGGAGAGAGAGAACCAGACCCTATCCTTCTACGTCACTGGT